AAGGCTGAATTTAAAATTGCAGGATTGTATGTGGACAGAAGGCATTACCTTAAAATTTCAGCCTCCTAAATTCCGTGGTTTCCGAGATAATAATTTGTCCGCAAAACTTTTCAAGGGGTCGTTCGTGTTACCCACGGGCAGGAGAAGGCTGAATTTAAATTTTCTGGATTGCATGTGGGCAGGGAAAGTTCCCCCAAATTTCCAGCTTCCTAGCTTTCGTAGTTTCCGAATTGAAAGTTGCGGACAAATCCTGCGAGCACACACATACATACACACAAAAACACACAGACAACCTCGTGACAATATGTATTTTGTACTGCTGTTACACAGCGCAAAACGCATAAAAACCGAGGGCATCTGTTAGTCACCTTAACTTACCTCAAGCAGCTGCAACTGCAGATGAGCAAAAAGTGGCGTTTTTAATTCCCTGAAAAAGCGCTTGATGAGAGAACAGACATCGTGCGTTGTGCAGTCTTCCGGTAATTTCTTGCCACCAAAAAACGTCTGCATCTAAATTGTAAAATAATTGAATGATAAATGCACGTGCTCACACATATCTCCCATGCGGTGTGGACAAAAAGTTAAAGGCCCGTTCGTATTCTATTCTCTATTTAAGGATACACAAGCTGGGAAAAGGCTCAAATAAAGTTATGTTATCAACGGTAACCTCCTGTTGAATAAGGCTATAAAAGTCCCTTTCTCTGAAGGATTACTTGAAAGGCAAAGCTGGTGTGTCACCCGAGTACATTAAGCACGTTAGTACCAATTTATCAATTCAGCGTTATTGACCTTACTGGGAGGCACCCAATACACCGGGTGCAATTATGCCAAAATCTTTAGGTGCATAATTTCAGTCAGTAAGCATTAATTTTCGCCATGCGCTACCCTTTCCGAGTTTATTTTCGCAGATACTCGATGCCCATCAATCACCAGCAATATATCCGATTATCAGACCTTTATTTTGCCGCGTGGCCATCCTGCATGCCACTCATCTGACAATTTATATGGTTTTGAAGACGCACCCAAGCAACACATTTCATAAGTAGCTTTTGCACTGAACCACGACATTCACAGCCTAAATGGTTTAACTGCCCGCCGTCACTGTTGAAAATATCTAGTCCGCCCAGTCTGTCAAATGTCGAGAAGACAAGAGAAACAGGATTTCGCACCTGCGCAATCTTCTCAATAACACCTGCCTTGAAGCAGCATATTGTGTTCACCGTTAGAACAGAAAGCATTAGCTTTTTCAATTATTTCTACGTGATCCCTATCAATCGGTTCATCCAAAAAAAAAAAAAAATCAGAGCACAACAACCAGCTCAATGTTACCGAATGCT